TGGTTGGTGGCAGGTGGGGGGCGGGCGGGAATTGGAGCAGGAAAGGGGGGGACCTGGTGGAAGGGGGAAGCAGCCACCTCAGAGGGGGCAGGGCCAGCAGAGGGGGCAGGGCCTTGCAGGGGTAGTTGCAGAGAGGGTACACGGGGGCGCGCCAGGGCACTGCAGGTCACCAGAGCTTCGGCGCAGAAGGACGACACCTGCAGGGGTGAGAAAGAGGGAGGCGTTGGAGTCAGGGAAGGGAGACAGAATAATGGGGAATGCTGGAGCCAGGGAGCAGGGGCACTGGAGCTGGGAGAAGGGGTAATGGCAGGGAGGAACTGAAGCCACGTGAGGGGAACAGCAGGGAGGGTGCTGGAACTGGTAGAACAGCGGGACAGGAGGGTGGGCACAGGAGGTGGGGACAAGAGGCAAGAACAGCAGGTGGGATTCCAGCGGGGTCTCACCTGCAGACTGGGATCCCGCTGGCCCAGGGCAAAGGCCCGCAAGGCGCACTGCAGAGGCGGGGGGCAAGCAGGCGCAGGTGCCAGCAGCAGCGCCAAGAGCAGGCGATAGAGCTGGTGGCGACAGGCTGGGCTGGTGTAGGGGCCTACTGGGGACACATCACCCTGTGCCAGACGGAGTAACAACGGCACCACCAGCTCTTGCAGCTTCTGGAGGGACAGATTTGTGGGGAAGAGACAGCATAACTTAAAGCACATACAGCCCCTCCCCCCCTCGCCCTGTGCCCCTGAATCCCCGTCGTCGCATGCCTGTCCCACCTCCACTCCACGCCACCCCTTCCCCACCTTGTGGGTCTCCTCCTTCACCAGGGGTTCAGCACTGTGGGGAGATGGGACGGGTTCAGGAGGGAGATGTAGTTCTATGCCTCTCAGTCCCCAAACAGGGCAGCCCCCAAAAGATGGGTGGACCATGCAAACCTTGGGGGCTCCCATCCTGCCGAGCTGGAACCCTTCTGATGTATGGGGGGGACTTGTATGCAGAAGAGATGGCACTGTGTGTCCCCGGCTGTTACTAGTTTAACGAGGGGAAGGGGAGGGAGTTTGTTGTTCTAGGGATCAGCACAAACTGGAGGTCCCAGTGACTAGTGACTGGGAGACCCAGCTGGGATGGCACAGCCGGGTCTGGCCAGCAGGCCAATGGGCTGTGGGGAGAGGACCCCGGTGACCTGCCCAGGTCCTAGCGAGGAGGAGAAAGGACGGAGGAGAGGAGAAGAGGGGGGCTCAGGCAACAGAAGACCGAGGCCAGTGAGGGGCTGCTGGGAAGGGATTTAGGGGCTGGGCTGGGAGGAGGGGGCTGCTGGCCTGGGCAGGGGGAGCAGGCAGAGCCCACCTGGCTGCAGGGGAGACTCAGACGTGCTGGGCTGAGGGGGGCCAGGCCTGCAGGCCTGAGAGTTCCTGTGCTGGGTTCAGTGCTCAATGAACCCTCCTGTGTGCCGCTGGCGGAGAGTCGCTCCGGTCTGAGAACAGGGCTGCACTGGCCCCCTGCGAGTGGAGTCCCCAGGGATCCAGAGCAAGTGAACTTCCCTAGGGGGCCCACGGCAGACAAGTGTGCTTGAGGCCTGAGAAATGTGGGCCCAGAGGTGAGGCACGGAACCTCTGGAAAGGAGTGACTGCCTGAAAAGGGGCTGTCATAATAGTGGGAGTTCCCCCCAGGGACCATACAGCCCAAATGTGAGCATGATTGATGAGTCTGTGACACCCTCCCACACAACCAGCCAAGCCCTCCATGCCCCCGCCTCAGGGAGAGATGGGTGCCAGGCTCCCCCTCCCAGGGCCCCGTACCTTGCAAGGCAGCTCTGCACACATCGCTATTGGCCATGGAGTCCTGCTTGCGGTGGAGGGATGGGGCCTCACCTCCCTCAGAGAGCTTTGGCTTCTTGGGTGCACTGGGCTTCCCCTCCGAGCCTGGCCGCCCCACTTTCAGCTGGGGAGAACAGGAGGGGTTGGTATGGTGCAGGAGAGCGGCTCTGCCGGGGGGGTACCTTGCAAGGCAGCTCTGCACACATCGCTATTGGCCATGGAGTCCTGCTTGCGGTGGAGGGATGGGGCCTCACCTCCCTCAGAGAGCTTTGGCTTCTTGGGTGCACTGGGCTTCCCCTCCGAGCCTGGCCGCCCCACTTTCAGCTGGGGAGAACAGGAGGGGTTGGTATGGTGCAGGAGAGCGGCTCTGCCGGGGGGCTCTCCACAGGCAGGCAAGGCTGGCCCTAGGCCACATAAAGGGCGCTGTGGGGAAGGAAGACTGATAGGGGTTCATCAGTGGGCTCTCTCCCCAGGTAGGCA